TGTTATGTATAGTATTGGTGTAAGTACAAAGTATTGGTGTATACACATTGTAACCGCTGGGTATGTTATAGCATATTAATAAAAGTGATTTGTTTGGCAGTGGTCATCTTCTAGCCGATATATTCTCATACTTAATATTATATTGATGTTTTCTAAATTTTATATTCTCAATTTTCAGTTGCTTTACGGGAGCAGTTTGCAGTCTTGTTTATTGGTTAAAGCACAAGAAGAAACATCATAGAAGATGGCGCGCCACGTTTACCCTATGTCCTCAACACTGCAGCTACTGGGCTAAACTAACTTATTTAGTCAGAACCAACTTTCATAGATTACCTATTTCATCGAATAGGTAATCTATGAAAGTTGGTTCTTGTACCAAAGGAGCTTCCTCAACCATGACATAATATAACCAGGCCTGCCCCGTACGTGACTGAGGTTGCCATGGAATGCGGACCTCAACCATGTGCGGGGCCAAACAAACCTCTAATTTAGTAAAGTGAACATAAAAGCCTCAAGCGTATATTTACTAGACAGACTTTTGAACACCCGTAACAAGATTTCAGGTTTTGTCGAGAGCGGGTCTTCATAATGTCCAAGACTGCAATTGTAACTTGATTGGAGTGTCAGGTACTGCTGGCCCGACATTATAGGGTACAGTTACAGTCTTACAACAAATTACTGAACGTGACTTGTAGGAGAAGGAACACAAATACACAGCCCTTGTCAAACGACACGCCTGGGTAATTACTAACGACCCACTACAGAGACAATTTCCTTGCAAGGAAATCACCTGGATTTGACTTAATATTGCGAAGATAGTTGACGTGCGGAGTGATCGTGATTACAAGCGGAGTAAGACATCAGCTCATTCCAAAATCTTGGTAGTTTTGCTCGTTTGGGTGCGAACCTGTATTGACTAGAGGCTTGTATTCGCGTCGAAGGTTTTATCCCGAATCTTGGTTTTAAATGGTTCATGCTTTACACATGTTCCATTAATTATATTTTATTTTAAGTGACTTGTTGTTTTATTTTCACCTTTCATCAAGTAAAAAGTTATTTTAGCAGTCATGCCTGAGTGCACTTCGTAGGTTTGAGTAATTAGTTAGACATATGCATTTACTAATCAGACTTGCCTGGCTACTGAACTCAAAGAAACAGATCCTATTCACTAACTATGTCTTCTTGGGTTCGATCCCCAAAAAGGTAGATCAAAATTTATATATCGACATCAGAACAGCATACACCCTGATACTGTTTTTTAATAAAGTACTGGCTAACATGTATAGAGTAGGATTGGTAGGACGGGGACGGGGTATCATTTTCATGTGCCCGAAGACTTTTGCTCTACAAAGTAGAACTAAGAGATTTAGTACTACCGCTTTTCACCAGATGGGGCTAATGTTATGCTATGGTCTGTTTGTCCAACAAAACATCATTTAGTGTCAAACAATTGATATTCGAATTTTATCAGATAAATAGACTTCATGCTACATGAGCACCATCTGTTGAGCGAGCAAAAAAACGGCAGCCCTCATAGTTGTCACTATCGCCATCATCCATACTATCCTCATGGTATTGAAAGTTAAACGTTCACGATTTAATTCGCTACAGGACAAGTTGAAGTGACATCTATCTAACCTTTCCACTATGTGTTTAAAATTTTAACGTCAATCGCCAGTCACACTCATAGTATACGTAGATAGCGCCACAGATAAGTCATATTGTCATCAGTTCTAGCTACTTTACTCCAATTGTTTAATAATATCATTACTAACAGATAAATGAACGATTTTTGTAAAGAATGGGGATGGCCCAGAAAACAGTTTTGTTTTATCCTTTTGGTTTAGTAGTTCAAGTAAAACAAACTTTAACGTAGATGGCGCTGAAACAGTCTGTGCGACTTGTTTTATGCCGAATGTTCCAAAATAGGGGTATTTATTGCCTGTAGTTGTTGTAATATAAAAAAAATGTTCAAAAATTTCTAATAAAAAGAAGATTAAATGAAAAAAATTTAAGAATAAAATTTCTAATTAAAGTTGCGTATGAGGTTTAATTACTAAATAGGTATTATTATAATTTAACTTGATTTAAGATTACTTATTTTACTGTTGCTTCCACTTACTTAGCACTTAATAATTGTTACTTTACTTATTATAATTTACATGACTATTTATTTTATCATTCATCATCATTATTTTATTTTTGATTTAGAGAAAAGCTTTTAGACTAACCAATTTAAAGGTTAAGCTACACTAGCTCAAGTTCGTTTGATGTATCGGAAAGTAGGATAAGCCGTTGGTCACGTCATGGTTGTCATAATGACATTTCATTATCTGTGGCAAATGACTATGAAAGTGATTACTTCACATGTTAGTGGTGCCATCTAGTGATTACAAAAACGATAGTCTCCCGTTAGGAATTTGCTTTTCGAAAATTCAATGATTTACGGTGCTAAGAATTTCATGATTGTAATTTGTAATGTTTCTTAGTCAAGTTCCTGTTAGCTTTGTTGGAAAATATCTAATAGGTTGCGACATTTACGAATGGCTAGCATCATTGCAAGTTATACTTACTAAGACCAACAGTCAACAAAAACTCTTGAATGCACTAAAGGTATAAAGGTATAAAGGAAGGTACCTATATTTCAAATAAAACTACACATTAATTATTTTATTTTTTTAGTTATTTTTGTGCTTTCCTATACATGTCGTTAAATACACTATATTATTAGACTATCTTAAAACTAATTCATGAGATATACACCAGAGATATTAGCAATAACACTTAAATTAACTTACGAGCTAGTTAAGGCACGAATACAAGCTTCTCGTCGTCTAAGAAGAAATCCAGAATAAAGTATAATCTATTCTGGAGGGAGGGTAAATGCCCTCCCCCTGTATTCGCGTCTAGGATATATACATTTTACAACATTGTTCGGCATATACTTCTATACTTAACTTTACCTATCCGATCCATCCATTGAGGATAAAGGTGTTATTCGGATATTTAGTAATTTCTGCAGTTAATTGCATGTCGTTTGCGTGATAGCAAATATAAGTCGTTACCCAGGCGTGTCGTAGTTGACAAGGGATTCGGTGGAGATGGAGTTTATTACGTTCTGGGAACGTTCGTATGAGCCAGAAAGGAATCACCTATGATATTTTCCCGTATAGAGAAAATGTCATAAATAATTAATCAAATCAGGCGTTGAATAGCCATGAAGTTTATAACAACACTTGTTATGAACAAGTGTTGTTATATTCCTCCTGCTAACTTCAAGCCAGATTTGATGGGTTACACAGTTGGTCTGAGTGACCACCGCCATTTTCACATTGACTACAAAGCCCAATCAGCTTTCACCGATGACTAATTTTCGAACAAGTAATCTGGAAAAGTTGATTTAACGATGTAGCTTGCGAAGCATCGTTGCCGGAGAGGTGGTGATTCGGCAGGAAGTGTAGTGACCTTCGAAGATGGAACTGCCTTCAGCAAGAACTGGAATAAGAAAATAAATAATTTTAAAAAAGTACGTCTTCTATTTTACCCACAAAATGTTCCTATGAATATGAGACAGTAACCGTATAATTGATGATCCATTAAAAAAAAAATTCTTGGATTGGAACCAAGCACCTCATTCTCAGCTGATATCAGGTCTCAGGTTATAATCTTTTTCTTTGAAATCACAAAATTACTGAAAATGGAAACAATCACAGTACCATGACCAAAATATTACTCGGGCCTCGAACCCAAAACAATAGTCCTGCTAAAGTCCAAAAAGAAGTTAAAGAAATACTTACTGAAGGCGGAGATCTCTTGCTGCTTGAAAGATCAGCTTCATTCATTCCGCCTGCCACGTTGTCGTGGAGCCGGAGCGAAGATTTGAAAGTGCTGAAAAGAAGAAAAAAGTAAAAGTTAATAAAAGTGTCCGTGATCACGGGGTCATCCCCATTTTCGGCATTGGTGGAACAAGGGACCCCAAATAAATAATTTCACACGAAATATCAACATGTAAAAAAATGCTAAGTAGAGTAACGCTCAAAAACCACGTGGAAGTCCGATTTTAAAATATGAAGATTTGAGAAAAAATCACTGAAAAATTATTGACTGAAAAATTATTTCTTCATTTGTATTAGATGTGGGATTGGAGAAAACACTTACCATCTTTCAATCAGTTAGGATCTCAGGGCTGGATGAGGACGTCATGAAGAACGTGACGCTCAGCTCGAAGGTCGGCGGCTCACTGCGGCACTGCGGCTCCGTTGCAGGAGGTGCAACGTCCGCCAGACGTGCAACGCGCAGACTCCAATCGATATGCCGCAGTGTCGTATATTAAACGAGTTAGGTATGTAATTGTAGGACCGTATCCTGATGCAGACAGGTAGAGTCTGACTAAAGTACCGGATCTGGTTACGGTTCCATTAAAGGATGATAAAACTTCCGAAAATCTCATTCCTGTCCAGCCCTTCCAACTCTTCATTTAAGCTGTTTATGTACCTCTATAACTTGCGGCTGCTTCCTTTGGACTGCCAGATCTTTGATCAAGTTATTGCGAGATCTCCTGTGTGTCGCGATGGAAATAATATGATATAGATAGGTTCACTTTCCTTAATCACGATAAAACTAACATTTGATCTATTAAAATTCAACTCAGATCATATTCTAGCTATAGTTTACTATTCTACTAGAACAAGTTGGACAGCTTGTACTAATCTTTAGTCTCATCAGTTGGGGTCACGTTTGAAATTGGTCTTTTGTGGGAAGTTACCGTTGTAAAGTTTTTTTTTAGGAGGGAAAATCATCGAATGGCTGCTCTCGCCTGGGTGAGGCGGGAGGGAGTGTTAGACTCTTACTGACTAAAAACCACCCCGTTCCTTCTCCTGCACGTCGAGCTGGAGCCTCGGTAACCCGTTAGGTTTACCGCGACTCCAAATCGGCATCAGCCCTGTTGGGCCCCATTCGTGGTGGACCGGTGTAAAGTATTTTTTTTATTTTTTTTAAGGGGGAAAATCATCGAATGACTGCTCCCACCTGGGTGAGGCGGGAGGGAGTGTTAGACTCTTACTGACTAAAAACCACCCCGTTCCTTCTCCTGCACGTCGAGCCGGAGCCCCGATAACCCGTTAGGTTCTCCGCGACTCCGAATCGGCATCGGCCCTGTTAGGCCCCATCCGTGGCGGTGTAAAATATAGGGTTAATATTTTAGTTAGCGGTAGTTATTAACTGAAATATGATTTTTGTTGTTGCTTAGTCATGTTTTTCTTATTACTGAGTTCTATTTTTGCACATGCTCGTTGACTGAATGTTCGCAAACGTAGCTATCGAGCAACATTTTTTTGGTATGATATTTCATAAGTTTATCAATTTTAGAATTAATAGTAGCCGTCTGTATAATTTGAAATTATGGCCATTGTACATACATAGGTTCCGAATGTAATAGTATTGAGTTATGAATACTTGATTCTTACATGTAAATAATATATTTTTATCAAGTTCACACACTTTCACACACTCAAACTTTTTTAAATTTTTTTGTGACACGAGTTCCTTTGTGGACTAGGTACATGAAGAATTGTTTCTGGCGTGAATTGAACTAAAAGATTGCAGAGTCACCGGTCGCCCAACTACCGCGCTAATCGTCCATTTCAACATTGCAATAGTGTTGTACTTGATATGCACTTTTTATATAACGGATCCAATAACGGATTCGGTTATGGTATCGGCTGCAAAACTGTCTTCAGCCAGACTCTACTGCGTCATAATCAAAGTACGCCACCCTACTCCCCATGAAGGGTGGCTGGAACTTTTTGAAGGGGTTGATTTTAAACTGTAAAAGCATTGCTTATGTACCTCTAGTATGTACCTACCTTTATATAAAAACATTGTATTTTTAATGAAGATGTCGTTTTGATTTCCATTTTGAATATATAATATATTTGAGACATTATGTATATATGAGATTGTTTTGTTATATAGATGTATGTCTTGTACTCATTTCCTCGGAAATTACAAAACGTATAAGCATGAGATTTGATAAAGAGCTTGATTATAGGGATTTTAGTCTGAAAAATCGTGGCATGGATAAATGTTAAGGATAGGCGACTGAAGTCACGGGTAAGAGGTTATATTTAGTCAACAAACATGTCTCGATCACTGTGATGAAATATCATTGTTTGTGTTTTATTTTTCTACCTTTATTTTGCGAAAATGTGAACAAAGAAAATCATATTAATAATTAAGCAAGCGATTCTCAACTTTATTGTTATGGTCATTGGTCTCTGATTGAATTGCTTTCGCATTTATATGCCATATAATACACATAGGCAGGTATAAGAGACAGTCTGTGTTGTGTCTGTGTCGCAGCACATACCGCATAATCAGCGATTTTACAAAATAGCTTGTTAACTAGAAACGCAAGAATAATTTCTAAAATATTACTCGTGTTTTTACTATTAATTTGCTTCCTATATAATCTTTCTTCGGTATGAAACCACGTAATAACATTCTCACTCCGACTTTTTTATACCACCTTTTATCCCTGCATTCACCTTTATTATACCAGTTAATTTATAAGTTTTACACACTGTCCAATTCGGGAATTAAACCCGGAATTCGATCAACAAAGCAGACAATCTTATAATGGCCTTAATTTTGTCCTTGAAAGGTTATACTTGGGAAATATGGTCTTTTGTTCAGACGCCCTTGATAAATGGTATTAAACACTACTGAAACATTTGAGTCAAACGGGTGAATAATAGGTAGTGAATGTATAGTCTGTATTATAAGTTTGCATGCCTTGATTGGTGGAACATGGTGAACTGCGCATTCATCTAACATCTTACAATGCATCTAAATGGACTGTGTTCAACAATAAAGATATTTGAATGTTGAATTTGCATTTTTAACATATTTTATCGAGTGTCAGTTAATTAGTGCAAAGGTTGCCTGGTAGATATCGCTTTTAGCGATAAGGCCGCCCTTGTACCCTCCTTATTCTTTATAATTTCCGAATATGTGTAATTACTTACTTGGTGTACAATAAAGCTTATTTATTATTATTATTAGTGCAGTTGCGGTTTTTGCTGAGGAAAACAAGAAAAGTATACCTTGCGTCTCGAAAGAAATATTCTAGCCACATTGTAAAACGACTTAATTTTTTAATACTACCTGCGACGTCTGTCTCTCTGCAAAATAGCGTGGGTGCTTGGTTGGGGAGAAAAGGGGGAGAAAAGGGGGAGAGGATCAAATACCCCCTGTCTGCGCTGCCTAGGTATATACTAGTACAATCCCCCGGTTCCCCCTGTCTGAAACGCAGATTAAATAAGTTAGGCAGTGGCGGACTCATTAAAGCGCGGGACGGGACCCATGTCAGTTTCTATAGAAACACATTAACAGCCCGTGAAATTACACTGGTAGACCATGGCTTCCTCTATAAATTGGTCATGTTCTTGACTTGGTAGGCTCGCAATCGCAGTGCACTGGATCAGTTTTATTAGAGAGCTCTGCTCACCATTCTCTTTCAAACTTGGTTCCTCAGTCAACCCCAACGTGTGAAGAGTTGTAGTGGGGAGTGGCGACAGCTGTATTCTACGTTGGAGTCACCACACGACAAATTATTCTATAAAATGCTGATTTTATTCGTAATTCCTACACCTTTTTAGGTCTGCTGCCTGTAACTTTTACTGAATTACTACTATTCTAAAGCGAAGATGTGTTTTGTTATTTGGGGCCCCGTATAAGTGGGGCCTGTAGCGATGGGAGTAAATGCCACTCTTACAACATGGTTAATTCGGCCCTGTGCAAGGTACGATTCAGTTCATACAAATTGTATGCTGCTATCGATTTTGTCTGGCTATTTGATGGTAGAGGAAGACTGTTTGAAAATGGATATTCTTTTTATTTTGTATGTAAAATTAGATGCGAACAGAGCGAGTTAAAGTAAGTAATAAAAAAACTATGGAAAATATTGTTATTTGAGACAAGATGGTTATGAAAATTTCCATTTCCCTCTTTTCGGGTATAGTCTATTTACAGTTCTGCGAGTTTGATAAAAGATTTAGACGTGTTGCACATAGTAAAATATGTAAACGTTCAAACGTACAGACTTTTATATATTTTCATATACTAGTAGGGCATGACCCCAGAGTGGCACGATGGCGCCACCTAGCGTTAGCCTGGCCTTTGTTTCCACTAACACGACCAGCAGACTTCTATTCATTGAAATTTTCTTCACCAGTTAGTGAGTGGTAGTTCTATAGATTAGTACTGGCACAATGGCCTCTAATGATAGTTGTGTAAAATGGCCGTCTCCTATTCGTTTTTAAAATTGGAAGTTCGAACAAAGGAGTTATAACGCGCGATAAAAAGTGGTGTTGTTAAAAATGTGTTCATTATTTGAGGATGAAAAATGTAAGTGCTGTTCATTTGTTTTATATTTTGTCTATATCTGTTTAAAATGCCTGGTTATAACTAATTAAATAATTATTGGCTCGTTAATGGAACGACTCTCAAATAAAGCAAAGACGTTACGTAAATGAGGATGTTTGTGGAAAAAATATAATAAAGAACGAAAATAAAAAGAAATAATATAAAAATGTTCAACTGAATAGAAAACTTTTAAAAATATAATACACCTTTTTTTAATACACTACAACATACATATTTAGCTCATTATTATACGTTTGACAGGTTTGGATAAAGACCTTGTTTATCAGAAGCACTGCTACCTGGTTTCCTATTGTAGTTCCTTATTCGATTTTCAAATCAAATCAAATCATTTATTTGCTAATATGGATAAATTAAGTTGTTAGCAGACAAGTAGATACAGTTCCGACCATATTAGTAATAATAAAGTACCAAACTATGGTTTAACTCGTCGAGTACCGGTTTTGTAGACACAATTATAGAACAATAGGTTGCGGTCACCGGTGACCGCTTGGTGTTTGACAGTTTAATTGAAATAAATGCTTTGACTTTGACTTTGATTACGCCTTGAGGCATGCAAATTACAAAAATTACAGCACCACAATGTTATTCGGAGAAAAATTAATACATTCAAAATTCGAACTATCAACAAAATCATTGTAATATAAGTGAATTCAAAATATAAATGTCACCAATATCATTAAAAATTTAATGTCAATAAATGTATTTGTCAATTAAAATGTATGAATTAGATTCAATAAAAAAATCAAATGCCCTTTGCCGCCGCTTTTACCTATATGGTGTTTGAATATACTAAACTAATTTGTAATAATCTGTATCAGGAAAATTAGGTACGTTCTATGGAGTACAATATTGATGACTTTTGGTACTCGATATTCATACTCCACTTATCTATTCCTTAATTCCTAATTTTAAGTTAATGTTAAAATGTAGAAACAACTGGATGTCCAAATAAATAAATACTCGAGAGAAATTTTATATACTCAACACAAACTAGGATCGGTCCATTCCACACAATTCATACGAATTCAGTTTTCGGTCGACGTTAAGGGGTGTCTGTCCAAACAATACTGAACTTACTACTACATAGACATACATATCAATTCTACATGCCATCTGGATTTAATTTTGGAATACCAAATTGAAAATACCATTAAAACATAGGACTCAAGTAAATACCGACCATATTCCTGAACAGTTAAGGTCCAAATCATGACTATAGGACTTAAATACCTGTAGGTTTAACGTAGACATAGTCTAGAGGGTTCCTAAGTACTTACATTTTACCCCTTTGGATGACGTCGCTTTGATTTTGGAATTTTTGAGTAATAGACTGATTTTGTTGTTCGAAATTCGGATGGCTGCGAGATTTTCATTTTTAGATCATTACCTAGCGAAAAGTGAATTTTTGTATTATGCAACGCTTTAGGAAATACATGGTAGGTACAATTTAAGTAATGTTCAAATGTGTCGTGGTGGCCCGGAGGTTTAAGACGCCCGCTTCTCATGCATGAGAGTGCGGGTTTGAAACCTACCAACGGAAAATACCAATGTGACTTTTTCCGAGTTATATGTACCTTCTAAGATTATTCAGACACCACTGACAAACGGTGAAGGAAAAACATCGTGAAGAAACCTGGACTTATAATTTCCAATTATAAGTTTGAAATCGCCAACCAGCATTGAACAAGCGTGGTGATTAATGCTCAAACCTTCTCCGTGTGAGAGGAGGCTTTGCTCAGCAGTGGGCATTTATAGGCTGTTGATGATGAATATTCAATCATGAGTCATGAATGAGGACTTGTTTTACAGTGTCTCTTTGACTGATACATATTTCATCACATTTCGTATAGAAATTTATTTACTTATTTATTTATATTAATTACAACGGCAGTCAACGGCTACACCAATGACAGCAATTAATTAATTTGTTATAACACCATTATATTAATATTACATGTACACATTCAAATGCATGTTAACATTAGAATAAATAAAATAAAATTCAACTGAAAATGAAACAATATCCGTTTATTAAACAAATATGCCCATAATCAAGTTATTCAAATTAGTTCGATTACTTTCGAGTCACACCGGGACCCTTAATTATGAGTCGCGTGAAAATAAAGATGTAAGTACAACATTAACCGTTTACCTAAATAATTTAAAATGTTGAATAACCAACGGAATACATCTGAAATAATAATGACTCATGTTCAGAACTTTTAGAATAGTGGATTTAAAATACGAATATTTGTTTAAACTGACCAGTGCAAGCGAACAATATCGGACTCACATCTGCCATACAATTACCCACACATACAAAATCCCAGACCTATTCAATTCCACCCTTCACGTTGCGACTAGACTTCATTTATTAATACCAAAATGAAAATACTATCAAAGCACTAAACTTCTATAAATATCAACCGTAAACCTTTAGAATTAAGGTTCAAAGTGTAGCAATTAAAGGCTCTTCACTGTTTTCGACCTTATATCTGTTAAAATATGGTTTAAATTGTAGCAATCAATGGCAAAGGTCTGCATGATTAAGGTAGATAGACTATGGAGGGTGCCTAAGTACATTGCGCCCCATCGCATGACGTCATACTCGATTTGGTTTTTCTGAATACCTAATTAATTAAATTGTCTCCCTTGTTGTGTGGTCAGAATCTAAAAAAAATCTTAGTATAATTTATTAAAATAAATCTTCACACAGTACATTTGACAGAGATCGGGCAGCAGTCGGGTTGTCGTGGTGCCCCGGAGGTTAAAGACTGCTTCTCATGCATGAGAGTGCGGGTTTGAAACCTACCAACGGCAAATACCAATATGACTTTTTCCGAGTTATATGTATGTACATTCTAAGATTATTTAGACATTACTGACAAACGGTGAAGGCAAGCATCGTGAGGAAACCTAGACTTTGTCTAATTATAAGTTTAAAATTGCAAACTCGCTTTGAGAAAGCTTGGTGAACTGTCAAACACCGCGAGGACACCGGTGACCGCAACCTATTGTTCTTTAATTGTGTCTATAATGACGGTACTCAAAAGGTTAATGCTCAAACCTTCTCCGTGCGAGAAGAGGCCTTTGGTCAGCATAAATATGATGATGATGGGCAGCAGCCCTCTTTTTTAAACTACGATACGCCTGCCAAGCGTAGAAACAGTGATGGTCTATAGACGATACTATAATGTAGATGTAGTAGTGGAATAGGTACTTTATGTATTCCATGAATATAGTGTATATTGGCATATTAATTTATTGTCATCATCATCAGCCACTGATCAATATAGGTTTTCCCAATGACATTGAAACAGGCAATAGGTGGTCGAAGGCCAGTAGGATGCAGGGGATGTGTGGTGATTCCGTAAAGGCAACCCGGGTTACGGTCACAGGCAGTGAAGGAACACCGCGGTGGTTTTAGCCGAAAGGAGTCCGGCACGCGCCCTCTTCGCCCCCACGACGTGGAAAGTCCATGAGGACTTCGCGATGGAAAAAAGGGGATATTATTTCGGTGTAGTCGTACCAGGTGGTCATACTAACAGCAATACGTGATCATGATCATTTATAAGCTTTTTAATATCGATGTCGCCAAATTTTAATTTAAAATTAACAAAGCAATACACAATTCGGCGCACTTATTCAATACCACCCTTCATGTCGAGTATGGATTTAATTTTTGAATAGGTACAAAACTGAAAATACCACCAAAACATTCAGTCTGAATAAATATCAACCCTATAACTGAATTATTAAGATTTAAATTGTAGCTATCAAAGGTAACGACTGCACGATCAAGGTAGACAGACTAGAGGGTGCCTAAATACATTGCGCCCCATCGGATGTAGTCATCCTCGATCTGGTTTTTCTGAATAATTATTAAACTGAGGCCTTAGTACGAGTTTGATTAAAGTATAAGCGTTCGGCACTCTGATTGGCCAGCGCCAATGAACCAGCCAATCAGAGCGCCGAACGCGTACTCGTTACGATTACTTTAAACGTAAAACAAACTCGTACTAAGGTCTCAGTCTCGTTTATTGTGTGGTCGGAAACGTTAATGAAACACCTTGTTTGAGAATTGATTAAACTGTCAAACACCAAGCGGTCACCGGTGACCGCAACCTATTGTTCTATAATTGTGTCTACAAAACCGGTACTCGACGAGTTAATATTCAGATTAGCCTATAAGTGGTTACTGCTGACCAAAGATCTCTTCTCGCAAGGAAAAGTTTGGAGCATTAATCGCCACACTTGCTCAATGCGAGTTGGCGATTTCAAACTTATAATTAGAAATTATACACCCAGATTTCCCCACAATGTTTTCATTTACCGATCGTGGGGCCTAAATAGTCTAAGAAAGATAGCTCGGAAAAAGGCACATTGATGCTTGCCCTGCGGTGGTAGGTTTCTGATCGAATTTTATTTTCAAATTCATAAACTGACCGTTATACCCAAACAATACTGAACTCATATTGTCAATACACATACATAGATACAACGCAGACGTATTCAAATCCACCCTTCATGTCCAGTCCGAATTTAATTTTCGAATACCAAACTAAAAATACCACCAAAACACACAGTCCCAATAAATATCAACCTTATATCTCTAGAATTAAAGTTTAAAATGTAGAAATCTAGATTTCAGTAAATATCAACCCTATACCAAAGCCCTAAGGTTTAAATTGTAGCTATCAAAGATAACGATCAGCGTCATCAAGGTAGATGACTACTGAGGGTTCCTAAGTAAGTTTCACCTTGTCGAATGACGTCACTGTCGGTAATATTTACCAGAGCGAAAACTCGCTTATAATTCGCGAAGTTGTTACTCAGTAAACACATACCTAGGTTATCGTGGCTTTCTTATTTTAAAAAGAGAAAAAAGTGTTCCATTTATTTAAATGTGTCCATTTATTTACGTGAACTAATCATAAAGCTCGATTGGTTACTTTTTTTTTCTTTTTTTTAACATATCTTTTTTTTATTAAATGGACTAATGTTATGTTTAAATTTACGTTTGGAACATTTGTGTGCCCAACAGTTCTATTTTAAAGAATATCTGTCAGTACCTTCTGGGCGTTGTTAAGGATACCGTCTCGTCTTTATACAAGGAAAATAAAATACGTCTATTTATAACTCAAAATGTATTGATTTCGTATCTGAAGAAAAACAAAGGGAGACAGTTCACATTTCATTGGGAGTTTTCTTTACAAATGGTGGTTTGGTAGCTAGAGCTAGTTTTCATGTAATTTTATTGTTTAAATGTGGTTTTCTATGTGACCAAAGTGATTTACGTTATTAAGTGAGAACCTAATCGTGATATAGTAAATTCTTTTTGTGTTGGTTGTTGGACATTATAACAATAACCATTGAAGAAAAATCTTTCACTCATCTCTCTTTGAAGTTATACCTATAATGAAAAAAAAACTTCTGTTTGAAATGTAAAGCCTACATGGATTTATGTCTGACTGAAGTGAACGTTGCGATTGGCGAATTTATAATCGTTTCGAAAACTTAGTCTGACGCTAGCGAATGCTTCCTTATATGCCCAAATCAACTACAGACATTATATACTATGTAAATATATCATACCTCGGCGTATTGATTGGACCTGCGCACTGCAGACTTCGCAGTACTGCAGTGTCGCCTGCATTCAGCCATTAGCTGTTCTGCTGCGGAAGCCTTTGATTATTGTCTTTATCTACGAGTCTTAGCCAGGAAAGACAAAGGTAGGTGTTGTATTTCTTCTTTGTTTTATATTGATTTATCTTGAGTGTGTTAAATTGGAGACTTCGAGAGATGTGTTCTTTTTTAACGACCCTATTAATAGGCGCCTACTTACAAATTCCTTTGTTTGTAAGTACGGTTTTTTTAATTTCATATAAATAAGTGTGCTGATTGGACGTTCCTCTTTTGTTATAAGACTCTAAATAGCCTAAATATGTGAAACTTATGTAAGGATATTAACGTTTTCAGAGGGTGTGGTCCTGAGACACGTGGCGCGTCGGAGGCGCTTCGAGCGACCCGAACCGGTCCTTCGAACCACCACTGAGGTTCTACTGATTTCTTAAGGTAAATATGTTTTATTTTAATAAAAACTTAATTTTTGCGATAATGACTAATACGCTGCGCGAGCCGACAGCTCTAAGCCATTGTGAGAATAGAAGGTCTAGTGATATGATGGTTAAGAACTTTTAGTACATTGTGAAGTTTTTGGTTCGTCCTTCTAGACTACTGGGTTTTAGTTTGGGCAAATCATGTTTAGTTAAAGGTTGTTGAGTGTTAGAACATTTCAATGTTGTGGCTAATGAAATACAAATCTAAACTTAGTCTTCATCTAATTAATTTTATTTGTACTTTAGTGATAGACAGCCTATTTAGACTTTGTCTTCATTGTGATCGATCACATCTTTATCCAGATAAAGATTTGCAAATTTGACAATAGGTTCAACCGTCCTTTGTACCTAGGAGCTATGTTAGATATTTTCATAAATTATTCAACTTACATTCCAATACTATCTTTTCTCGACACTTTAAAACGAGCAAACATTTCTATATAAACTACGTTTAAATACCGATTCATTCCAAACCCCTCTTGTTATGAAGTCGGTAAATTAATATACTAAAAGTTTCTCTTAAGTATAACAAACGCGCGCGCCTCAAAGAGCCATCAGACCACCACAGATGGCGATGCGATTCGGAGTCGCGGAGAACCTAACGGGTAACCGGGGCTCCGGCTCGACGTGCAGGAGAAGGAACGGGGTGGTTTTTAGTCAGTAAGAGTCTGACACTCCCTCCCGCCTCACCCAGGCGGGAGCAGGCATTCGATGATTTTCCAGCCTTAAAAATAAAGTGTAACAAAGACTGTTCTGGAATTCGAATCAAAATCGGTTCAACTAATCTCGAGATATTCGTTCACAAATATACATACGTACGGACTTACACGCGAACTAAACACCTCCGTTTTGTTTCAAGTCGTTTAATATCTTTAATAAAATATGCATAGATGGGTTGTATTTTATTTTTTCATCTTAATACTTTGATTTCGAAGCCCAGCATAGAACTTAGTTGTCAATATGCTAGAATGGCAATATATAGATATTTTATAATGCGTTTACTTAATTTGAGCAAAGTTTTAAATTAATAACTTAACGCTTTATGGCAATTGCAATTAATAACCGCCATTGCGATGTGGCATGGGTTATGTCTAGGGTTGCCACCCGTACTTTATAATAAAGTATTGTACGTTATTTAAGGTAATTGTACTCTATACTTTATAAGAATAATATAGTACACGAAAATACTTTATTTTTGCAAACTTCATTAATTTTTATTTTTGTAATCTTATCGATCCCATATCGATATTTATCGATTTATGTTGAATCGATTTCGCCACTCGCCAGCGCCTCTTAGACAATTTCTAGAAAAGATGCAATTGTTTAGTAAAATACTAATTTAATACAAACTGCAAAAAGCAATAAAAATATATTTTTAAATAGAATATTCTAAATAAGAATAAATTGTACTTTATTTTTGTACTATGTACTTTTTTTTACTTACCTATAATCGTCAATGTACTTTAAATACCAAAATAAAAGGTGGCAACCCTAGTTATGTCGGCTTGAGCAAAAGTATTAGGCATTTATTTTAGGAATCCTTCTAATATTATAACTGCGAAAGTTTGTTTAGATGTTTGTGTGTTTCTTACTCTTTCACGTCAAAACGGCTGTAGGGATTGGGATGAAATTGGGAACTGGGGTAGACTATAGTCTGGAGTAACACTTAGGCCACTTTTTATCCGCGAAAACGCGGGCGAAGCCGTTGGTAGAATCTAGTATATTTATAAATTCATATTGGTTTCCTCTCCTCTATTATAAAATTACAATTTATTAAGGGTTTAAAGTGGGTAACAAAAAGAAAACAACAAAAATTATACCCTTAATTAGGCGTCAAAATTAGGAATTAAAGTTCGATTAATTCTTATCCTATGAAAAACGTCGCGGAGAACCTAACGGGTAACCGGGGCTCCGGCTCGACGTGCAGGAGAAGGAACGGGGTGGTTTTTAGTCAGTAAGAGTCTGACATCCCCTCTCGCCTCACCCAGGCGGCAAGAGACATTCGATGATTTTCCCCACTTAAAAAAAAATCCTATGAAAAACGGGTTAATTGTCTGTCTCCTTCTTTTGTTTATTTGGTGTATCGAAATTAAATCTGTCAGATAAGTAAATTGGTTTAATTTTGGTAGAACTAGGCTGTATATAACAAAATAAATAGTTGGCACATTTTATTGAAATATTTTAATAATGTTGGTGGTGAACCGTTGTAACTTATAGAAGAGAGCAAAACTGGACAAGATTTTGGAAACCCTCGTAATTTGCTCTACCCCTTCCGGGGTAAAAGGCGTGATGTTGTTATGTTATGTTATAAAAATATTGACTCTCCCATTTCCCTCATGTACTAAAAGACATAGCAAGGTAAAATGAGCTTAGAATGTGTACTCGTACGAAATACATAGGTACCTACATTACCTCATATACAAAGGTACAGTCAGAACAGCTACTACTAGTTCTATGCAGGTAATTAGTACGAATGTAGGTAAGAAAATAAAGATTGATTCAGTACAGAGACTAACAATTACCATCTAATCAGTATTGGTTGTCGCGGAGAACCTAACGGGTTACTGGGGCTCCGGCTCGACGTGCAGGAGAAGGAACTGAATGGTTTTTAGTCAGTAAGAGTCTGACACTCCCTCCCGCCTCGTTCAGGCGGAAGCAGTCATTCGATGATTTTCCCGCCTTAAAAAATAAAACCATTTTGGCTACAGAACCGATCAATGGTTACAGAAGATGTGGCTTGGTTAAAAACCATACACAAACGATAGGGTAAGCAGAGGTGCACATTACGGCAGCTAATGCCACTGTACAATGTAACACCCACTTTTCACTATTTATGTTATGAGTCCCATGTAATAAGAGTGAGCCTATTGCCATATAAACCGGGCACAATTCCAGACTCTGTGTTACTACTATAACCCATTAATACTTTGCCTGACCTGCTAGTTGCATATGCGACCACTTGGTCAGCGAGGTAGTCTATAATCATATAATTTAGTATAATAAGTGTCTGTCTTAAAACTGTCCAGCTATCAGTCTTTTCCATTTCTCATTTTCTAAATAATTGTATAATCAATCTGATTGAAAAAGACTAACCTATAGAGTTTCTAGCTCGTTCTTCTCCATAGGAATCTACACCATGGAATGAGCAATAGCTTCACTTTTAAATTTTTTTGACGTTCAAACGTGCCTTTCTGGTCTAGTTGAAATAAATGATTTTTTTGGCTTTGACTTTGACTTTGACTTTAACTTGCATAGTAAATAGCTGTGCTGATTGTACTTTGGAACAAATGTACGAGTTTCATTTGAAAATTGCTTATTGCATACCGCCATTAACTTCACTATAAATATTCTGGCCAACAACTTTACAGTTTTAATGACACACCGTGGACTGGTCTTCCAGTTCGTATATAAACCGGGCACAGTTCATCACCAGACCTTATAATGAGATATATATTTTTTAACGCATAAACTGAATTGCATGAACATAAATTATAACCAAATTCTATGCTGTTTCTTCATATTTTCCAGATACCCAACACGCTCGAGATCGAAAGATGGGTAACATAACTTTTATATCTAATAGATCAAATGACTATCAGTTATTTGATGAAGAACTACCTATACACGAACTGCGAAAATTTGGTGAAAACTATGAAATTCTTAACATTTTAGTGTCACATGTGGGGCTTGCCAAAGATTTTAATATCCCAGAGCTGTTCAAAGAAGAAAGCTGGTTTGGCAAGCTGCCGTTCCTTGCCGTCGATCAAGGCGTTTTTAATTCCAACGATAAAAAAGTTATTGAGAACAGACTTGGCAGGCCACTGGATGGCAATGACCAAATCTGTATCCGTAACCCAAATGCTATAACAGACGGACAGTTGCTGCCTCAGCAAGTGTTTGTGGTTCGTGTATATGGTAGTGAAAATGTTAAAAAACATTAAAAAAAGAGTAGATCGTACATGACTTGTCTTCTTCAATGATTACACACAATTATATGTGGCTTGCGTAGTGGTTGATTTCCTATCGATCACGACGTTCATCTGTAATAACTAATAATATTCATGTAATATTTTGAGATTTTTGTCAAAATTTATATACGATTGTCAATATTTGTATGTAATTTTTTGCATTTCTTATATTTAAGTTTGATTGTACAAAACATAATAATATAGAATTAAATAAGAAATTGTAGTGTGGTGTTAATATTTACATACCTATTCAAATACTTTAGTTTAGTCCCAAATAATGTTCATCCATCATCATTCATAATACATACTTCCCTTTAAATAGAGTTTTCAAAATAGCAGCTTTAGAGCATAGCGCATTCCTAGAAAAATTAAATAGGCTTAGTATTTTTATGAAACATAGTGTAGACATTAAAATGGTTTTGATAAAATCAGTAATTAAAACCAATATATAGTACACATGAATCCAAATATAAATGAGAGATAGTCAATCAAAGAACATTACATTTGACATATCACGCCAACTGCTAAATAGATGGCGTGACGATCTAGAAGCTCTGACAGATACCAACACGTAACAATTGTATTATAGTAATGAAAAGCAATGGTACATATTTTAGTTATAATATCTTAACGCTTGTTTCAATGCCTCTACAATACAAGCCAACATTAAAAATATTTTGAAAGTTACCCTGTGCGTCGTACAACATATTGCAATGGCTTTTACAAAAGTATCATAGATAGCAGCACTTTGTATGAGTCATTTTGAAAGGTACATACATAACGCTGTATTCACGCTTGTCGAATAGCAAAATTAATGGACTCCGCACGTGACTTACAGTGTTATGTAACTGAATTTTGTAATAGACGTGTATTGTAACATTCAGTACCTTGTTTATAGAATCAAATAGCTTTTCAATTAATTTATCACTGTATAAATAGGTTATCTTGTATCGGTTGGATCTGTAGGAGTTGCCTCGGTCGGATCTGTAGGTCCAATTTCAGGTAGGACCTGAATTTATCTGTAAGTGGTTTGTCTGCGGCTGTATTCAGAGCTATGATGGGTTGGGCCCCGGGGATTATTGATTGGTCCTTTGTGGCACAGTATGGTGTTGTCTCGTACGTGCGCTTTCGGATTTTAAGAAGTTTCTCGAAATAATTTAACATATTTATACTTTCTTCGGTGCGATAAGGTAAAATAACGTTTGATAGTTTAATTATTTGATATTTCACTATAATTTTTTGTGTATTGAGTTTTGGATTTGAATTGAATTTTGGTATAGGAGTAACCGCCATTTTGAATAATCGAATTTCCGTGACACTTCTATCACGTTACTGTCTCTTGATTTAACAGTGAATAAGTGATTAGACATTGGTTATATAAATCAGTTTTATCTATTTGGTTTTAGAGCGAGTGATGCCTCGGTAGGGCTGCGCCCTCTGGTCGACAGCAGTACTTCTTCTGGGGCCTACTAACAGGTATTTTATTAATTTGGGTTTTAATAGATATCTAATATCTACTTTGGAATTAAACGTTTTAGACTTTTCTGTGAAACAGTAAATTCGTTTAATCACAGCAGCACAAAGTTTGCTTCAGTTCGTAGGAGTACCACAAGGGTCAATTCTGGGACCACTGTCAATTTTAATGAATACTCATTTGCACAAAAATGGGTATATAATTTTATAAATAACATTTCATAAGGTTTTGACGAATGTAATTATTTATTTTGATTAAAAATTTAAGTATGAGGTCTTTAACAGTCATTACCTTGAACATTTTTTAAGTACTTCAATTTCATTTTTTGTTTTTGTGTAATTAGTTAAGAATTTCTAAATGTTTTCATATTGTAGGTGTAAAATATAGTGTGCTTATAGGTATGTTATTGAAATTCTTATTAATATAATTAATTTATTCTTGATGTAGAAAAATCATTTTAAAATATAAACTTAAATTGTCTTCTCTTTTTTCTTACTGTTCTCACAAAGTAGGAAGCCAGTGGAAAATCAAGTAATTTTCATTTAAACTTCTATTAGCCTATTTGATCAAATGGGAATTGAGCACGACTGCTGACTGACACTGATTTCGACACATGTGGTGATGTTGAGGTTTTCACTTAACTTGCTCGGAAATTGTGCACAATATGTTTGACGATAGATTTCCCTACAATATAGCCCTTTATTAAATAAAAATCCACAAAAAATGTCCAATACTTTTGAATATACTTGTCACAAAACTTTTCAGGTCATAGCTTCAAGATGAACGTGGTACGTGAACGACGGGTCGTGTATGACGAGGAGATAGAAATAAAGAAACTCATCCCCAAAATAGTAACTGTTATTGTGGTGGACTATATACTGGAAAGACTCTTATTAGGAACAAATTTTACTTATTTACTCATACGATATTATACTAGACCACTAGTCCATGCATTGAAGGAACATTGGAAACGGTTTAAAGATGTAATCATGCAGACTGAGGTTGGTATCGTATAATTATTTATTCTATATTATACCTATAACATTCGTGAGACATACTAAATGAATTATCATGTTTTCGTCTTACTCACGTAACTGTCTTATGCGCACTGCTACGGTAACAGCAGCAACGCGATAGTCACCGCATCGTGTGTCGCGGAATGCTCATGAATATAAGCCTCTAGAATTGCTTGAAACTAGTTGAGTTCCTCGTCAAACATATTTTTCCATCTGATATAGTTTTGTAATTAATTGTAATTTGCGATATCTAGTTACAAAATTATTGTACTTTCTAAGATGATAATAATCTTAGAAATTGAGGAAACCTGGGCTTGTAATTTGTAATTATAAGTTTGAAATTGCCAACCCGCATTGAGCAAGAGTGATGCTCAAACATTCTCTGTGTGAGAAGAGGCATTTGGTCAGCAGTGGCCACCCATGGGCTGTTGATGTGATGACTAAAAATAATTAACTTTAGAATTCATTTGTTTTAATTGGCTTTGTATAAAAAAGTAGTTTTGTTTGTTGAGACAAGAAACCGTAATAATTATGCAATCTGGTCCTTTGGTTTTAGGAGCGTCTAAATGACCAAATTTCGCTATGTTGCACTATTAAATTGGAATGTATTTCTTCAACAGGAATCACACGCACAGACGATGGACTAAATAAATGACAATAAAATTTCTACAAACTACAAACTACTACAATACACTACAATGTTGAATAAATATGGCGTATAAGTGAACAGAAGCATATAATTGCTTTTGTGCATATTGCCGGCATAGCATAACAACTATTGTGTCGTTTAAAAATGTAACTTAAAGGCGTGAAAATGTAGTCTAATTTTGTATGTAATATCACAGGATTAAGTTACATTTTTAAATATATCATTAAAAATGCCATGTCGTCAATAATGCTGAACCAAATCTTGCAAACATTTTGTTTTAGTGACGAACTGTTTGCAAGATTATCTTTTTTTATTTAATGTTTCAAACGATCGCCCAAATTGTAATCGTATTATAGTTATAATGTCAGAGGTGAGCGATTAGAAACAGCAAGCATATTGGAATATAAAGGATCTCTTATATTAAAGGTCTTTTATATTACCAAACTACCGCTACGTTTCACCCTTCTTTCTTCTGGTTTTTTCCAACTTGGACTGAATCTAATTAACCTGATTTGGACCTCAACCCAGTTGGATAAAATGATATAGAAAAAGGGATGGTAGTATTAACTCTATAGCAATTACCTTCTGCCCTCCACATCCTAAAAATGAAACCACGTTTTTTGAAAAACCCGTGTCATTCTTTACTTCTCTTCTGTGCCATAAAATTGAAATCAGCTTTGAGAATAGGCTTGCACTTCCTGGTCGCTCCCCTCTTCTAAATGTTGGGAAACTGTACCAAAATATACAACACGACTAAGATAAGTACTAAAATGTAAGACTTAATTCTGTGAATTTTAAGATCGGTGTACATTTGATAAGTGTGTTTACGTTTAAGTGCATTTAAGCTGGAACATTTTAAGGTTCCAGTTTATCTGAAAATTTAGATATTAGAACGTCTCTTTTGTAATATCGTCCCTTTCTGAATGTCGCCCGATTAAGAACGTCTCTTTTATTAAAATGTCGACTCATTCTAGAATTGTAATCTATATATAATAAATGTTTAAAAGGAGGAATCATATTGTTTCATTTCAAATCTGAATAGATGCGCTAAGTGCAATTGCGTTAACTTTAGTTCTATAAACATATTATTAAAAATACCACCGTTTCAATATTTCCTATTAATTTATTTTCACAGCCGTAATTAAGGTGTGGTTTGAGAGAATAATTATCTTCAAAAGATTATTGACTCATCAGTTTCCTTGATTGCCTTGTGAAACAGACTCCCTGATATGACTATGTACTTGTAACTCGTATGAAGTTGCGAGTGTTCATGTCACTTAACAAATCACCACAGGCGATTTGCCTGCTCGTTTACCCTCTTTCAAAAACGATTTCGAACACTAGTTCAAAACGGCCTGTTTTAGAGTAAAAAATTATGGAATACGCAAATATTAAGTTGCAATTTTTTTCCTAGTTTTTCAGCAGATGGATGACCTGATGGTAATGCAATTATTGTAACTTACAACACCTGTCACATGATGAGTATCTTGCCGACGGCGAAGTTATTTGATATTAATAAAAATTCAGTTTACTTGCATTAAACAAATACACGCAGAAGTATATCTAATATAAACCGTCATATCATCAACAAAAGACAATGAGAAGGTAGGTAGGAATTGGCTTAATCACGCTGGTCTCAGTATCTGTCAGTAAATTTAGTTTATAAAGTTCCAAAATTCTAGAAATTTAAACATTTCTGAATGTTCAACCGAATCTCCTGACCTAAATGTATTTTTTTTCTTTCTCGAATGGCAACCGAGTCTCCAAATTCAGATCAACCATAACTCTTTCATGACATTGTCATAAATCACGCCGCCATTTTGAATTTGAAATGACATTTGTTAAATGGCGCTAGTGTCGTTTTTAGTAAGCTTTGATTTAGTTCTTAGTTTATCTGTAGGGCGTAACAAATTGGTATGTATCTTTATATTGTACCTGTAGCTGCGAAGTATCGATTGGGCCTGCGCGTTGCAATGTTTATTGACCTTTAGTTTCGCGTCCAGGATTTCTTGACTGACAAACTTCGATTACAAGAGGTATGTATGTGTTTCCAAGCATATTGTTAATGTTTCATTATTGATGTATTAATTGTGTACGAATTAAAAATAAGAGGTACACATAGTTGACAAAATAGGTATTGTCAGTAGGTTATGTTAACTTTGCGGTTTTGACTGTAAATAAGAAACACTCGGCGATTTTCTGAATGACATTATTAGAAACTAATTTTTTGTCGAAGTGCTTTAAGCTCAAGCAAGTGATCTCATTTACAAGGACTGATGCAATTCATATAAGCCATTCTGATGCTTAATTACTTTCTTCTGCAATTCCAGGGCAGGCAAGGAGGGTATAGCCTGACTTCAAGCTGCAGATAGAGCCAGCAGCTCAAAAGGTATGTTGTTGATATTTAATTAATTAAATTTATTATCCGACAAATTGGTTTAGTAAACTAAACATTACAATAATACTGGGACGATATTTTGACCGTATATGAAGCTTGTAGTTGGATTTGTGTAAGATCGATCCGAGCGGGCTGAAGACAGCAATACGCCTTTAGTGTATGCTGCAGTTATTTAGGCAGACTTGGGTAAATTGTTTACGCCACATTTCTGACTGTAGTTTACTTATAGAACCTTAGTTTTTGTTTCTTCTTCCAGGTGCTGCAGAATGAATAGAAAATGTTTCTTCATATTACTAGGTACGTTCATCATAAACATAATGTACCCGGTGGAGCCGTTGTACCATATCTTCTACACCGGTATACCTTGGGTCATGTCGGCGCAGTATCTTAGGAAACTATGGATGACGCTTATGTATGAGAGTCAGGGGTAAGATTTTTTCTGTTTTATTATCACGTTTTTACACAAACATCGCATCACGCCTTTTATTCCCGAAGAGGTAGGCACATTACGGCACTTAATGCCGCTGTACAATGTAACACCCACTTTTCACTATTTATGTTATGAGTTCCATGTAATTGGTGGTGAGCCTGCCATATATCGGGCATAATTCCCGACTCCATGCAAGTACTGAAATTTTTTTTAACACCCAGTTGTATTTTGCCCGACCCGGTTATCGAACCCGAGGTCCCTTGCAGTCGTGCGGCAGCCGCACTTGAAACCAGTGGGCCAACGAGGCTGTCTATTACGTTTTTATAATTACAAATACAACTAACAAAAGCCGCTAATTTTAAACCCCGAAAAAGTACGTAGAGATGTATACATAAATACATGTACAATTTAGTTATGTTGCGAGTCCCTTATTTTATTAATTACATGTAGTTATGGGTGAGCCTATTGTGTGTAGTTCTGGATTATTTTTACATTACATTACTACACCCGATTATTACGAACGATAGAATTATAATACGAACATTACATTATGATTACACCCGATTTCGAGATAATTATGTTTTTCGAAAATATAACTAAACAAATATACAACCAAACTAACCATTGATATTTCTGAACTATAATGCTTCTGCTGTCTTGCCTAACAGAATTTTGCATTGTTTTTTAGTCAGTAACAGAACAGTTTTGTTTATGGCTAGCTAACTTCTAACAGAATTGAACTCATCGTAGATTCAGATTTTTAAAAGTCTTTCTTTGTATATTTCAGTCGTGTCGAGCTGAATAGTCTTGTACAGTAAGAAACAGGAGTTACGGTCACTAGCATTTGTTAAGGTAATTTTATTTTTATTATTTACTAAAACAAAGTTGAGATTCCATTGAATTTCTCATTTAAAGTCATTTAGGTGAATTTCTACCACATAGGTACTATTTGAATTCGATGAATGTTTAACTAATATATTTGCATCAAAGATCTCCCATATTGTTTTAATGATATGTGTTTCTGCAATAGTAAATGCAATAGTATTGTAATAATACGTCTTTTTGTCCACAGGTGTCGCATCAAAACAACAGGATGCTCGACTGATTTTTACTTCAATTTTACCTTATTGAATCGAAAAGCATTGCCCCTAATATTTTCTTGATATGTTTTTTTTTAAAGCTATATCAATTTATCTATTTTACAATTAAGTATATACTCTATGTTCTAAAAATAATAGAATACGATCTATACTTTCACCATAAATTAACATTATGTTTTAGAATATGTACGATTTCTTTTCTTATAAATTAATACGACTAAGATAGCACTTTTTGCCTTAGTAGGGTAAAGTGTAACCATGTTTACCTAATAGGTTCTTGTTGTGGAATATTAATTGTATTGTACTTATTTTTTTTTAAGTAGGTTTTCACTATTTATTATTTTGTTTAGGATTTACTATTATTTCGAGGCTTAATGAATTAAAAATACGAATTATGAAGAATGTTAGTTTAAAAATTAATGAGACAAATTACTGCCATAACAATTTTGAATAGATAAGGTAAGTTAGTTAAAGTTTACCCGTTTGTATCCACTCACCAGTTCACGGATCACCATAAATGTAAGATACTTAGAATGAGAAAAAGGTCAAACAGGTGTGTACTAAACTTATATGGTGATAGTTTTCTTTTTTTCGAATTTTTTTATAGGGTACGTTCGCCTCTTAGCGCCCATGTTACAGTACCGTAACATGGACGCTTAGAGGCGAACATACCCTACTTATTTCAACTTAGAAGTAATAAATACAAATTCATTATATCATCCAGGAACAGTATTTATACTTAACATAACAGAACATCAACTTGTTTGAAAGTGTAGGTACCTAATCATTAACTGAAAATTGTCGTCTACTTCTCTAAATGCATCTATGTTTAAATTGTGTGGTGTTAAAATATGAACTGTAATAAATTCTGAGTGTACTGTGTCTATTTGTACTCGAAATGTATGTAAGAACTAATAAATAATAGGATAAAAATGTCCTACTTAATGAATGTCGTTAAAAATCAACTGTGATGTGAATTGTAGACGATGCTTGTTTGTATGGGGTCAAAAGGCCTGTTTCAAAAAGAAGTTAAGGACACCGTTTTTCTGGAATACATCCGAATGTACAATATTAATTTTTTGATACTTCGTCTTAATTGTTGGTTCCGGTGGATGACAATAAATTGTTTTTTTTTTCTTTTTTCGTTTTTTAATAAATATTGATTTTTGTGTGCATTGTTTTATTGTAAAATATTTAGAACTAGCTAACCCGGTAAACTTCGTAACGCCTTCTTCTCGCTTTTTACACATTCTCTGAATTTCCACGAACATTTCCAAAACAAATCGGTTCAGCCATTCTCGAGTTTTAGCGGGACTAACGAACAGAAATTCATTTTTATTTATATTGATATTAAAATCCTATCCCTAACCCAAGAACATTATCACCTCATTGTAATTATTTCACTTACAGTACCTACTGTAGAGAAAAAGCAGTAAGTAGTCCACTTACAGTTTTGAACTCCATAAATTTAAAAACCTTTTACCTTTGATTGGCAGAAAATATTTATGGCATAAACTTTATAAAATGATTGACAAAAATCAATGAATTTCATTAATAAGTAACCTCTTCATAATACAAATAATAATAATTACCTATATAAGTATATAAATATAGAATATGGACAGGTTTACCTAACACACAATTTCCCTGCCGAGTCCCCAAGCCGTCACCGGTAACCGCCCTCCACGTACTCCATTATAGACCTAATATCCAATGTTAAGAGATTACTATTGTATGAACAAATGTAGTCGACTTATCGTAATTGTGGATACACAAGTTAAGGTAATTACGTATAAGAAAATAGGTATACTATATTCACTGAAATTAGTTATTAATTTTCTGTAGCTATAATACCTAAATTAAAGTACGTTTCCAATAAGATCTCTGTAAATGATTTAAAGAAAATGCATGGATTTTTTATTACTACAAAAATAAATTAAGCCAATACTTGAACAATTATTCTAAAATAATTTAACACTGCATAGAACCAATATACTTCATATTACATGCCAATGTACATTATTTAAAAACTTTGAAAGTACGTAAACATATTTTTGCTTACAACATTACGACAACAAAGGAATTGACTGCAACGCATTTACAGTAATTTTACTAACTGTAAATTAAATGAAAAATAACTATATTATTATTTAACATACTAAACCATACAAATACCATCATTTACCCATTGTAAATCTAAAAAGGTCTTGAATTGAATACAAATCGATAATTCCCGGTCTAATTGCAAGGCGCCCTTATCCACACTGCGCAGGTCATCTAAGAACTTTCTAGAATTTTCGATTCCACAGACTTCCGTTACGAAGTTAGGGACTCTAGAGTGGGAGAGAGACAACAATAGCTGGGTACAAAGTGAGCGAAAGAGATATCGATACACTTGCAGCTTACTTCATAGGTTTAAATTTTTGGTTTTATTATCCTGCGAGAAGTTATTGATTGGTCCTGCGCTTTGCAGTCCATGTCCTAAAAAAATGCATTCAGAAAGGCTTTGGTCGAGCTCAAGGGCGGTCGTGTTTCCCGTCTCGTCCGTGTCTCTTGGCTTCAGATAAAGGTATGTATTTTAGGGCTTCTTTTGAGCTGTTTATGTTGTTTATTTTATTGGTTTTACGTGTATAATTACTATTTTTCGTTATTTTCTATTTTTAGCTGTTAAAGTATTTTCTTTGGTATTTTTATTGTCAATTGAGTCTTATTATTTCATTATAAGTTCTTTAAAATAAATATTTCATAGCGTACTAGCAAAATATTTCGAGATAATCGCTACATAGCGTGGTTGCTACGTATGGGACTACGGCGTAGGCGTGGCTACGGCCACGCGCTACGTGACTACGCCGTAGTCATATCGGCGGCCATTATAAGGGTAGATAAGTTCTTATTTTATAGTTTTCAGGCTATTGTTCTCCACATATTTATATATTGTGTATTGCAATGGCGGGTGTTCTTTAAAAATAGTTTAAAGTTCGTGAAACAACACGTGGTACGGGGGGCGTGGCCACGGGTAGCGATCGAAGGTGATGCGCCCGTTGATGCGCGATGTTGCAATTGGACGCCATCTTGGTTACTGGTTAATATAAGCAACCTTTCTGCCTCTGTCTTCTGAAAGCGTATACCTATTTGAATTTCGATTAGGTTTTGTAATTGTTTAAGCAGTCATAAATATGTTTCACAATAATTTAAAATGTAACATGAACTGCATCTTGTATAACAATGTCAGCCTTCATGGTGGAAACTTGAAATCAACTTTAAAATATAATCAGTCGTAATTGGCTTATAGTTCTTTTAAAAATACATTATAACACTAAAACTAGGAATATAGGCGTGGTAACGATAGAAACAATATGGCGGACACGTGTTCATTATAGAAGTGGGCGGGGCCAATGACCCTTGTACTTCCCGATGCAGTTGTACATAATGTCTACATATTTTCTAATAATGCAGGTTTAAAGGTATATTGATGTAATAGCAATTGGTAAATCACTATCTTTCCTTGTTCCAGGTCTCTTCTCAGCCAGCTCTTTCTCTTACCTGCTTCCAATTTCAATGTAAGTTGTGTTTTTCTTCCATACATTTACAATACACATTACTACACATTCACTTGTATTTTTTTCTACAGGGCATCACTTTGTTGCTCAATTACGTGACTTTGCAGTTTTCTTCAACATATTAAGACAGTTCCTGCTATTTCTGATAAGCAATGCATTTTATTTGAGGATATCTTTTTTTAATTTAGATATTTGAATGAAGACATTCAGATTAAGAGTACCCAGTATAAGAATATACATAGTTCTATAGTAGCAACTGATGTTTAAATCAATCTCATCCCTTGGTGACATCGCGGAGAATCTAACGGGTTACCGGGGCTCCGGCTCGACGTGCAGGAGAAGGAACGGGGTGGTTTTTAGTCAGTAAGAGTCTGACACTCCCTCCCGCCTCACCCAGGTGGGAGCAGTCATTAGATGAATTTCCCCCTTAAAAAAATCCATTGGTGACGCATCTTGTACTCAGTGGACACGTTCTAACAACGAGGCAAATATTTTGCATTCATATAATTTAATTCATTTTTCAGATTTTTGGTGACAAGGCGACACCGACTACCCAGCTAGCGGTCGCTCCACCCGGCTCTTCTCCACCCAGCGCGCAGCTACTCTTCATTTCGCCCCTCTGTGCCACAAGCCGCCGTCCATAGAGTAAACCTTTAAGATGTAACACGGCCTCAGCTTTCACAGATTACTCGGTTCCGAATGAATTTTTCATTGGTCGGTTTCGTTGTTTGACAGTAATAATGACTGCCTCACTGAGGTCCTGGGTTCAATTCCCAAGTCGGGTTCTCCCGAAGTCCAGAGCAATGCTCGGCGGGATGTATTCCAGTCCGATGCGCTCGTAACATGAACCTGATGGTCATGTTACTTATAATTACAGTCAGATAACCACTTTGCTGTATTTATTTATTTACCACTCCATCCGGTAGATAAATAAATGTTTGCTTAATAAACCGTCTGGTACACTTGTTTAATTATCTTTCTATGTGATCGATAAATAAGTGAGTTACCAATGCAATGAAGAAGTCATTGAAGTTGAAACGAGTAATCTGTGACAGCTGTACGTGCCGGTTCCCCATGCGACGTATGCTCTTTATGCGACATGTGATTCGAACAGCTCCCAACTTTAACAGCTCATATATAATATGGCCTGTTAAGGTTACCATTACATCAACTTGGTTATTATTATATTACTTCTGGTTACCCAGTAGTTAGACTATTGGGTCTCGGGCAGTACTAGCTTAATAACTTTACCTACCTATCAACCTGACATAAGCTTCTTAATAGATTTCGGTTCTTAAAGACTTTAGAATTAAGTATTTTTATAAGAAAAGTTTATGACACTGATTAAATATGAAGAAGTTATTTAAGTAAGATATTATATATTTTTGTAAAAAAATGACAAAATGTTGGTGTTTTGTTACATGTTAGGTATTATGTCTCTAATGTGGTCTGAGGTAAGATAATTCGTACGTAGTATCTGTGCGGTTATTACCTTTTAGGTTTACAAATATTACATCATCTAAACACATTCAACAAAAATTAGATAGTAAGAATTTAGTATGTAAGAAATTGTAAATACGCATAATACACAGATTAAAAATAATAATAATAATAAGCGAAAGATGTTTTTGTTTTATTCCAAACGTAATAGGGTAGATGCCTAAATCATTAGATTTTTATTTTCTTACAGAGACGAATATTTTCGAAGATATATTGATTTGAAATGTCGCGTTACGTCTCTTCTATGTACATTATATACGTAGAAATGACGTTTTAGCCCCCACTCCTAAACTTTTATTTGTTATATTTAAGTATCATTTTATTATAAAACAACATATAAAAATACGTGTCTAATATTTTTTCATTACCTAACTGACGAACTTAAAACATTTTTAATTTTCATATCCTGTCATCATCCCTATTGTCTATACTTTGAATAAAATTATGGCCTTACATTACTCGTTGGCAGAGTGGCCGCAAATGCGACTGCCGGGCAAGGGGTCTCGGGTTCGATTTCCGGGTCGGGCAAAGTATTAATGGGTTTTAAAAAAATCACAATAGTAGCACGGAGTCTGGAATTGTGCCCTGTATATTTGGTATATTAGGTACAGCGTAGCTCGTACAGGTATATTTGCTATTATACGCGTATTTTGTTTATGCTTATAATGCAATAATTTTGATAGTCATACCACTACCCCTAACCTTTTTGCAGCTTACAAAGGATGACTGGTAGATAATGCTGTATTAAGTCCTACTTATGCAATTGTTTAAACTTAAATAAATAAATAAATGACATTACACAATTATCCAGACTTAAAGAGTGATTAGAGTACTTTGCTTCAATTATATCTGCTATATAGTTATGAAACTATGAGCCCTGTCTGGGCTTGAAAATAGTCGAGCGTACTCGAACAGTTTCTTAAGCTGTAATTTAGCTATCGAAAAGCATTTTAACCTTCGTTTTAGACACCATGAACAATACTCATAATTAGATTAAAGGCAATAAAGATAAATATTACAAAAAAAACAAAAATAAAATTATAAAATAATTTAATTAATTTAATAAATATAATAAATACAAAATCACAAGATTGATTTATTCAATAATAGTCTTATCTATGTTGTAGACCCTTTCGATGTTCTCGGAAGGCAGTGGATCTATGAGTTCTATGTGTAAGTCGTATTGTTGGTCGAGGCCCATGTAGCTATCACTTAACACGTATAGAGTGTAGATTATACGACCTGAGAAAAAAAGAGAAATTTTTGGTTAATAAATGCTTTGTTTAATGAATCATTTTTATGCCTGAAGATATTTTTTTATTGATAAGTCTTCAGAGACTCGTATCCTTCACTTTGTCTTTTAAACTGTCAAACACCAAGCGGTCACCGGTGACCGCAACCCATTGTTCTATAATTGTGTCTACAAAACCGGTACTCGACGAGTTAAATACTATTTTCCTTTTCCTTGAATAGTCATTCTGAAGATAGTTCAGAAGTGTTTCAGGACCGATTTCATCGATTTCATTCAATCATCAGTAAATTCTTAACTGAATAATAAAATTGACAATAGACAGTTTTTAGTATGAAGAAGTTGTCAATTATTCAGTTATTCTTCAGTTCGGGCTCGTACACATAACAGCGATGCGACGTCGCATCGCAAGAACTTGCGAATTGATTCGCATCGCGCATCAAAATCTTATCTTCCCAAAATCTTTTTTGTTTCTATCTCCTAAGCAATAACAGAAGTGCACACTTCGTTTTACGATCCATGTCACGATCTAGTTTTCAAAGTAAAATACGTTTAGTATGGTTGACAGTCGTCGAAGGAATGGTCACTCAGACGCTTTGTCGCACGAAATCGCATCGCAGCAATTCGCATCGTAATTTTTTGCGTTGCAATTTCGCATTGCATCGCAGTTTTGTGTACGAGCCCATAAAGATTATTTGGCGTTGGAAAAATCGGCTCTAAGTGTCATATAGACAACTATTTACGTGAGTCATAGGTAACAGTTTAAAACTCTATAAAAACTCAATAGTTTTTTTTATTAGGCGGAAAGTAAGCAGACAGGTCGATAATGCCAGTAGTATGCGATTAACGCCACTCATGAACATTCGCTACATTAGTGACCCTACAAATAAGTTACCAATCGTCTAAAAAATGTTTGATAATTTGTTTTGTATATGAATTATGCTTACCTTTCCTCGAAGGCGTGTAGAAGGTAACCTGCGCCGTGCCTTTAGGCGGTACTCGTTTCAAGGCGTGTAGCTCGCCATCATCAACAGTACCGAGTGTGAGTATCCAGCCCTCGTTCTTACCGCGGGGGAACCGAGGACAAAGTACGGTGTTTGGATTACCGCCACGACGGTGTAGCTCTATTAGGAGGGTGTATTCCTGTTGATAAGGTTAATAACATACTCTTAATGTTCAGTGATAAAATTTTCGGTGAAAAATTAGTTTTAAGGCATGAACAAAACACAGTACGAGGTCGTTCTTAGGTGGGAAGTCTCTCAATATAAAGAAGAACAATAAAATTGTATGGAATTATATCACCAATCTGTTTTAAGTAAATCAACTAGTTTTGAAGATAACTCCTTTCTGGACATTTATCGTGTCGTTTGTCCCGCAATGCTGCTGATGATTATGAGCCCCTGCGTAACTCGAAACCAGTCAAGTTACCTTATCAAATACTTATAACATACATAACATCACGCCTGTCTTCCCCGAAGTGTAGGCAGAGGTGCACATTACGGCACTTAACGCCACTGTACAATGTAACACCCACTTTTCACGATTTATGTTATGAGTCCCATGTAATAGAGGGTGAGCCTATTGCCATATACCGGGCACAATTCCAGACTACGTGCTACTACTGGGGTTTTTTTGAAAAAACCCAGTAATACTCAAATACTTATAAGTACCATAAAATATAACTAATTGAATATTTCTTAGATAATGACTTATTATTATTTATTTACGATAATTTTATTATAATACAAGGTCACTGTATTTACCTGGTCAGCATGTAGCGTTAACCATTCGTCTCTCGCCGGTGGTTGGCGTATGCGTTTGTCTTGTTCACCTTCACTGTCAAACCAGAGACCACGGACAGATAGCTTTACGTCCAACGTCGGCATCTCACATATGGCCTGGAAGCAAAATGGCATCTTAGAGAATAGCACTAAAATAAAATATCGTTTGTATCTCAAATAAATACGGCTAGAAATTAAACTTCAACTTTCAAATTTATTTTTCATCAAAAAATTAATTAATAAATGTTAATAAAACGCACTCACCCTATGTATCTGTTCAATCTGATTCTCTTCGAACTCCCTCCTCATATACTTGGCTAACAGCTCGTAGTTTCTCATACAAACCACTTTCAACCCATTGAGCATATTACACGGTTTGTGAGTATCTTTAGCCATTTTTGAGAATATGTACAAATGTTGGGAGTCTATGTGTGGGAGGGTCAATAGGGGGGATTCTGTCGGCCATCTTGCTTGAACTATGCTTTGCATCAACATCTGACAGGATAGACAGACTGTTAGCCAGCCGTTTTCCGCTGACGTGTCTATCATTGCCTGCAAAGTTTACATTTGTTAGGTTTTAGACAAATATAAGGAATTAATTATTATGTCTTTAGCTTATTCACGTAACAGTTTGACGAGGAACTCGACTAGTTTCAAACATGGCATTGAGTAAGCCGAAAATATAATAATTATTTCGTATTTCTCATGAAAGTTTTAACATAAACACAAATACAACGAATAATTTCGTATAAAAAGAACACCATTTCACGTTTTTTTTATTACTAAAGGTGAACTCAGATGTATTTGTAGCAGTAGTATTTGTTAGTCAATTGTTCCATTAAGAAAATATTGAATATGAATTTTGTAGATAATTTTACCACTTCAACAGTTGCTATTGTTTTGCACCAGAAATCTCAATTTTCACAGTAAACAAAAAAGTTTCAATTTACCACACAAACAAAATGAAATAAAAGGAATATTCTATCGGCTTAAAATGAGGTTTTAAACATCAAATCAAAAATATTACCTGTAATATTCTAATGGTTTGATCCAGTACAGACTTGGTGTCTGTCAAGTAGTCAGTGTTAGGTAGCTGCAGTCTAGTCATGTGTGCTTGGAGTAGCAGGAAGGCTTTTACGTTGGATGAGTCGAGGCTTAGAGCGTCTACTGGAAGCCGGCATTGCTGGGAGAGCTCGCTGGAAGAAAGAATAGGTTTAATTTAAGTCTACTTCTTTATTATTTAATTTGGAGACTGGGGAATCATTTTCCCGATGGATAGATAACAGCTGCCTTAACAGGTCGGTTGAGTAACGCGGTGCAGGTTTGGTTATTTGTGTGAACACCTGAAATGACTCAAGTTTAGGGCAAAGTCGCGATGCATTTAATCTTAATCATATATTAGAGTGGTTTATTACACGGGCGAATTTTGAAACATACATTTCTTTTATTCACCTAAATTCCTAGTGAAAGTGAACGAAACCTTTACCACGTTTAGCTTTCTTATTTGTTGCATAACGTGAAACCGCCAATGAGAGCGCCAAAAGTCATAAACATGTCGATCAGGTTAACGTGAAACTAACCAGGACTCTATGGCTAAGTAAGATGAACTTCGCTACCTTATCTGTCACTGATGGAACACGAAATCAGAGTGCCAAGCACGAATAACTATCGCATTCGTAACGTGTTAGTATCGAGCGCGTTCGTGAACCAACTAATCAGGGCGTTGAACGCGCTGTCTGTATAGTACTCAATAGTACTCTGAACTTTGGGAGATTCTGTTCTTTTTTCCAAGATCCAACATTAATCAGTTATTGACACTCACCCATTAAGTAGGTCCTCATTATGCCTGACGGGTAGAGTGGCGTACTCCTCGCTGTCCGCCAGTACCCGCAGCAAGTCATCGACGTTCATGTTGTTGTGTAATGCGCGGGTGAAGTGCGCCATAGTCTTGTACGACAGGTAGTAGTACGACGCGATACGACCCATCCACGTGCAGTGGACTGTGCGGAGATCCTGAGAAATAATAGGAAAAAAGAGATTTTTAAATCCAGAAGTTAGAGTATGATATTTCTTTTTTTATATCG